TGCGTTTGCTTCCGACACCGACTTACGTCTGCGATACTGTCGGAAACGATTGCGACAATCTTTGTGCCCAGAGAGTCATGAATCTTTTTATCTAATGTGAATTCGTGAAAAGTGAAAAATCTAACCTTGGATTACGATCGCATTCAAGTACTGCAAAACAATTCACTTCTTATAGTTTCATAGTAAGGAAAAATATTAAATAATTGAGAAAATCCAGAGTTCTCATGTGAAAAGATTCATGATTGATGTCTTGGCCTTTGATGTGCTTACACAGTCATATTGTTCTTGTGGATAAAAGACAGAACAGAGCAGAGCAAGAGCAGCCATAGAATATATTAGTTGCAGATGGGAATATGTACTATTCTCTTGAATCCAGTTCTCACTCGTTCTGCACTCGATATCGTAAGCAGTCTTTGTTAAAGCCGTTACCTAGGTATTGTTATTACCGATTTTTTGATCATCGTTATTTCTTTATTGTCCACTCGCGGATATTATCACACGATTGTCGAGCAGATATTATTACCATTTAATATTCTAGTATTATTATTTCTTTATTCTCGGTTATTATTTAATTTATTCAACTATTATTTAATTATTGTATGATAAACCTCCTTCTGTGGTACTACGGCTGATATGAAGCCTGTGGAAGAGATCTCTCGCTGTTTGCATTGACTGGGACAATGTTATTTCACATTACCTCTACAATTTACCTCCGCCTGTATCGCCAGTTTATCGAGATCAGTGTTTTCATTGATCATCAGAATAGTACGAACAATCTCTGACAGTTGTTCAAGGAAGAGTGAAGAATTGGGTTGCCGCATTGTCTTCCTGTTAGATTGCGTAATCTCTGTAAGAAGCACAAGGGTGTCTTGTCCCTGAACCCATGACCGCGAAGCAATCGGTGTAGCTTCGTTTCAATCGTGCCATCAAACGTGCTCGTGATGCGTACTTTCAAGTCTTGGTACCCGCCGTTTGGCCGTGAATCGGCAAGACTATCTGAAACAAATGATTTTGTTAGCCTTTTATTTAAAGAATGTTCTCTCGGGGGTAAAATACAAAATATTTCAGTATAAACTGTGCGCTAAATATATTATTTTATTTCAGGGAACACTAGCGAGCGCCCCCTCCGAATATGGGCCAAGACAAGCACGAAAAGAGAAATCTTCCAATGTGTGGGCAAGAAAATATAGGCTGCGTTCCGAAATTCACTGCCAGTACTGAAAATCTATAGTTCATGTTACGTATACTATAGAATTTCAGTACTGGCAGTGAATTTCGGAACGCAGCTATAATAATTTGGGACACACACACAGCTGGCGCACGCGCAGAGAGGCCGTCCCACAGTACAGCGAGATCTAGGTTAACGACCACGTACCTGAAGCGTTTCATCTGCGGTGATTCGCTATATACGTAAATGCTGTCCCGCGTTGTACGAATGTGTATGACGTATGTGCGCAGCGTGTATGACATCACTGGCCTCGTCATTGATACTGGGTGGCGCAGATTCGCGCGATGTACCGCATTGCGGGTCCATCCTTGCATGCGGATTAACAGGCAGCTGTGTACCGATTGTACCTCCAAATACATTGCTTTCTCCCATCGGCGGTAATGAATGCTGGAGTGACATCATGTTCTCAGGAAGTTGACTCTTTCTCTGTTACGCGCACTCGTAATGGATAATGGTAATGGATAATAAAAGAATATATATTCTTCAGAAAGTATAATGTCGCGTTTCGATCAGTCTTTTCAGATGAATAATCGAGATGTTGGTAGGCCGCGAAATATATAATAGAAATTTTCGAAGTTAACCTCAAATAAAATGACGGTTAGCACGTGGCTAACGAGAGCGAGCGGTACGAGCGATATTACAGTACGAGTAATACAACATATGCGATATTACGACGAAGATAGAGTCGCGATCGTCAATTTCACTTTATGTGGCGAAGAAAATCGTACGGGTACAAGTAGTAATATCAAATGGAATTATTTCGTGTCTTTCTCTATCGACTGTTTACTATTTGTGCCAGTCCTAAGTGTGTCATCGAGTCGTTATCGACTCGCGTATGTCAGTTTCCGATTCCTGGAGATGATCTATTGATCGTGTTAGCTTGTGCGTGTGGACCTCCGGTTCGCAAAGATGATTCTTTGGCTAACAAATGGCTTAGTTGATAGCCGTTGATAGCTACGCCGCTGACTTACTGAACATACGAGATCACACATACTTTTCGTGATTGAATGTTAAATTCTAATATCACAGCATTTCTATCACGTGATTCGCGCCTGTAAAAAATGACTAGCAATTTATTACAACCCTTGGCTACGTTCCGAAATTCGCTGCCAGTGCTGAAATTCTATAATACATATAACATGAATTATAGATTTTTAGTACTGGCAGTAAAATTTTTGAACGCAGCCTCTGTCGCGGGGCAAATATCGCAATCTGACGCGAAATTTAAATGCAAAGTCAATACAAATTTTTGTCGTCGCCATTATCGACCAATTTAGGCGTTTTTTTTCTACCTCTACAGATAGCGCGTATAGCAAAGCACAGCGAAAGACATGTAGTTTTAAGGAAATTTGGAATTTTACCGACCGACTTACCGATGTTGTAAATATGCACTAAAATTTTAAACACTGGTTGCAATATAACCATGTTACCATACGATTATGAATTCAGTTTCTGATTATTATCGATTATCGATTTTGTTATTTTCATGTTTGGTGCTTAGTAGTATGGAAGCGCGAGAGCTTTTGCAGTGAGAAGCAATTACTTAAAGACGAAGAAAGAAGGATGAAAAGAAGAGAGAGTAAAAGAAAATAAGGACATCTAATAATATTGATAAGAAATATTGAATTAGGTAAAGGGGATATCGTAAAATATGACGGGGATGATGGTAGCGCCTCTTTTCTATGTTATTTTAAAAAAAAGATGTAATGTTCGTATAACTATCTTTTTTTAAAAAAAGATAAAAAGGGACGCGTCCGTTTATACGAATAAAAATACAAATCTTTTAAAACTCTTATAAAATATATTTTATTTATTTTATACAACTATAAAAAATTTATAAAATAACATATTTAAAACTCTTAATAAAAAATATTCTTGTTTAAACTTCTTTTTTCTATAAAAAGAGTGATATCAGGTAATCAGACCAAGTGCAAATACAGGTTGTTAAGACTGCCTTCGCAATTTTTGTGGGATGCTTTCTGAGTTTCTGGCGTTCACTTGTGTGCGTTATTTTCTCCTTTATTGTTTTTATGAAAATCGCGTACGTAACACCGCATATCCTTGGAGGTATTCATTGTATCTCCCGAGTTAGACTAAACTTTCAAGTACGGAACGCACATGCAAGTTAATCACACAGACCCGTGACATATTATCTTATATAATATAATATAATATAATATAATATAATATAATATAATGTAATATAATTATTATGCATATTATTATTAATATTATGCATATTATTATTAATTTCAAATAAGATATTTTCATGAATAAGATTTAAAAGCAGTTTCTACCTTGTCTTAAATATTTACATTGACTTTCGATCAATCATGTTGTTTATTGATGAAATAATTAATTTACAAACACAAAATATATAAAAAGTTAATTATATTTCATAAGAAAGAGAGGGGGGAGAGGTAGACGGAAAGGGTGGGAGGGAGAGAGGGAGGGAGGGAGAGAGGGGGAGCGAGCGAGAGTGGGAGAGAGGGTGGGAGAAAGAGAGGGAGAGAGGGGGAGAGGGAGAGAGGGAAGAAGGAAAGAGGGGTGAGGGAGAGGGGGAGACTGAGAGAGGGAGAAAGATTTTATGAGATATATTGATTCAGATAAAATAAATTTGCATTCTATGTCTACCTGAATAATATTTCTAATATATTTCCAATATATTTCTAATATATTTTCAATAATTAAAACAATTACAAGACAAATATATAAATATTTTTTTGAGAGCAACAAATAATAAGAAGCGTTTTATTTCGTATAGATTATTAGGTGCAAAAAATTTGTATTATTTTTATCACATCATGTATATTTGTGGTATATTTGTGGTATCTTGTGGTAAATAAATTAAGTTCTATTTCTGTTATTCTCATTACATTATTAACATAACACCTCTCTCTCTCTTTCTCTCTCTCATTATCGCGGCTTCGGTGTCAGCCTATAGTCTAGATTCGCTATAGTTATACATATGGGAAAAAAAGAGATAGTAGATTGTATGGCTGCACTTTTTCATTGCCTGAACTTAACTGTGTGCCGCGCGCGTACGGTTGCTTGCTTGCATGCGTATCCTCTCCACACACTGGAACATGCTGCTGAGTCTCGAAACTGGCTTCACTGGCAGCGGTGCGTTGTCCATCCTCTCGTCACGTGTCGGCATCCGTGCTAGATATATTGAGGCGCGCTACAGCTGAGCAGTTCGAGCACTTTTTTTCCTACTATTCAGCGCGTGCTCATTTTTCTTAATCTTCCATAATTAATATTTCTATTATTATCAAGAATATCGCAAAACGGAATTTTCATGTTCACCTGAATCCATCCTACGTTCCCACGAAAATTGCGCAGACGAGGATATTAGGAAAATTTGCAGAGACAATACTGGGACACTCTGTATAAATTTACTTGTACATTATTAAACAGTTTTATCGGTGAAAATTCATTAAAAGGCATTGAAACCATTTGGAATATTTTAACCAAAATTGGTATACGAATAGGGCATGAATGGTTTTCAAAAGTTTACTCCCAATTTTTATGCTTAAATTACTTTAATGGAAAATAGATGACATTATTGGAGTTTTCTATATAATGCGCTTTCCACTAGAAGAGAATTTGCAAAAATGGGCATTTCTGTAGAGGAAAGAACAATAAATGGTATCAGATGGAATCTTTATACATTACATACAATTGAAAAAGTTTAAATCTGATAACTTTGCACATCTCGATATATATTCAATAGAGTACATGACACACACAACGTACTGACATCGATATTAAAGTTCGTATACATTTCTTAAATAACATACAAACATTTTACTTGTTTATTTTTTCCAAATATATAATATACACATTGTTATAAAAAAGATGAAGTCAATATTTGTAAGAGTGAGCAATAAAGAGTAATATGTTTTCCTTGTCTAATTGTCCAGTTAATGGGGAGAACGAAGGAAGAAAAGCAATTATGTGATTAATGCGTCCATTTTTTCTTCTATTATTTTATTTTTTTTTAATTTTTTTCATATCACCCTTCTAGCATACTGTATAATAGCGAAAGCACTTGACTTAGTGTATGTCTTTAATCTTCAACTTCATCCCGTAAAAGTATGTAGTTTATTTAATAAATGTATGATTTTCTATTTTTTCTAAATACATATAGAGTATTGAATACTATATTTACACGGAAAAAGTTGGTTGAATTAATTTAAAATTTGCATATATTAGACAAATTGTTTGGTGAAAAGTTAACAATTTAAAATTCTGATTAATACGTTCGCTACCAACATCACATATGTGGCGTAAAAATTTATCATAAAAAACCAACATTATATATATATGTAATGATGAACTTTTTTTCTGTTTCTGAATTTTTAAATTAAGTCTGTTTTATATAATTATGTAAAAACAATAATGCGAGACGCACTGTACGCAGGGATGCCGATTTAGTTACATTTGTAGCACGCTGACAGTGCGTAGAGGGGATGGCTCCCATGTATTAATGCCGTGTGCGACTCTCACTTCAGCCACACTCATGGACATAGTATACATGGACCCCGCATATTGCTAGAAAAGTGAACTCAACATGTAGAAAGAAACCATAGACTTAATATACATAGACTCCGCATACAGTCAGAAAAGAGAAGCCAATATATACAGTCTGTTCTCTGTCTCTTTTTCCACAAACAAAGTGTCCACAAGCAATCAGATTTAAGTAAGGACGTTTACTTGCCGGTCTAGTCGGGATGCTGTTGCGCTCTATAATATTATGCAAATGAGAAATGGATGGACGCGCGACAAAAAAGTGACAAAATAGGAAGAAAACTATAGCCCCTCTATTCTCGCTCTCTTTCTAATGTTGGCTTCACTCTATTAGACGATAGAACATAGGGCATTCGGAGTCTAGGTATACTATGTTCATGGTCACACTTCAGCCGAAGTGAAAGGCGCACACGGACAGAGCACGCATACATGGGAGTTATCCCCTCTACGCGCTGTCAGCATGCTGCAAATGTAACTGAATCGGTATCCTTGACTGTACGGAGAGTTCTTTGAATATACCATAGTAACGAACGTGTTAAACAAATAAATTTAATTACATGTTCTGGTTAAACTAACGACACAAAATTTTAATTATGTAACAAATTTGATGATAGAAGTTCGCTACGAAACTAGTTTTCAAATCCTAACAAACTTTGAATCTGGAACTTCTGAATTGTATGTCCGGCAGTCTATACCATTTCTGTAATTGATCGATCTGTTATGTATTGTTTATATACACATATGTTATAACTAGTACTATATTATATAATTTTCCAATAATATAATTTAATATTACAAAAAGCGAATTATTTTGATCGTAATTATATTTTTGTTAATATTCTTGTTAATTTTTCGAATTCGATGATATAACACTTATGCGTGATAAGTGGTCGGACAAAGTTTGTAAAGTTTATAAATTGTTTATAAATTCGAGTATATAAAGTCAAATACTGGAGATTTGCGCGCATAATATATTGGTTTTATGGTATTTTATTATACTCAGTAACTGATTTATGATTAATGTTGCACCTCAATGTGTGTTGTGTGTTCTGGAATATTTAATTATAATAACTAAATATTATATTTAATTTTACTAACCATACATAATATGTATTTTACTAACTATACATAATTTGTTTAGCTATATATATCATATTAATCCCACTATATTCTTTTTTTTTATAATTTTGATAACCAAATATTTGGATGTTATCATATACGCAAAGTTTGACAGTTATTGTACTTAAATGTTTTGATTAAATATCCTAGAATATTTCGTTATAATAACCAGAAATTTTGTGTAATTTTATCTTATTGAACTATATTACGTTAATTCATATGTTGAGAGAAACATTAATTCAACCAGGTTATTTTTTCCGTGTACATTTTCGTTTTTTTACAACATATGTATGAGAAATTTAGTTGTCTATTACATATTGTACTATTATTTAAAATTAAATAAGCTCTGTATGCATAATATACCTGTCAATCTTGATTTGCAAGCAACACAGATATATAACCGGCCGATGTTTTCAACAACTGCAAAAATTTTTTAATATGGTATAATTAGAAAAATAGAAAATATATCCATAATAAATAAATCCATAATAAATAATAATGACTTAAACTTCATAGTTCAAAATTTTGTTTCATTTTTATTAAGCTGCATTACATTATATAAGCATAAAATGATTAAATTAGATAGATTAAATTAAGGACCAGCAGAAGTTAAGAATAAATCCTGATTTGACTTTGGGGTCCTCGTGCGACGAAAGCTATTTTACTTCGTAAAAGGAATATTTTGTTACTAGAATTCTTATCACACAGGAATATTTATTGCAAAGATCACTAAAGAACTCGATCCTGTAATATTAGGTTAATATTGATATAAATATATTAGATACTCTAGTAAAGTTTTTTGCAGTTCTATTACTTTTACAACAAATATTAGTATTCGTATAATTAATCGGTTGTAGAATAAGTCTATTTTTCATGAACATCATTCTGTTTTTCTTTTACAAAAAATTTTTTTCACCAATTTCTTCATATTCTTTTTCAAGCGAGAGGCTTTACGATATGAATTTCTGCATATATTTCGCACTGCTCCCGTATATTTCTTGAGTGTATTTCACGTTATTTCCGCACATTTCCTGCATCATTTTCTCATCACATTTATACACTCCTCATATCATATGTCGCATTACATTTCTCTCCGTATAATTTTCGTAAAACTTTAGCAATTCTTTTACATTATATCAGCTTTATCTTCGTCCTCCTTCATAAGAGTTGTATATTAAAATTAATTTGTAGCAATTTTACAGCGATTTTTTACCTATATTTATTACCTATTATTTATATTAGTCTTTTATAATATTATGAAATAAAAAAATCAATATAAAGTAATTAAAAATATTTCTAATTTAATATTTTGGTATAAAATATTGGATGACATTTCTGTAGAGAAATAATACATGTACCAGAAAATTTTATGAAACAGATGTGATACTCGTACACACTTATCTTTTTCACAAAAAGATAGAAAAGGCGCTAAGTTTACGCATTTATCTACATGAATAGATTTATATAAAAGCAAATATTCTTATAAAAAAAGATTATTTTACTATTTATATTATATATTTAAAAATGTTAAAACAAACTCAGGTAGCAAGATGACGTCTAAAGACGTCATTAAGATGTCATTAAGACATCATAGACGTATAAATGACGTCTTTTGACGTCACCTTGCTACCTGGGAAGTATTGTTATTTAAACTTCTAATTTCTATAAAAGATAAATGAGAATACGAATAAGTGGTGTACGTCACGTGAAGCGCTTTTTCAAACAAGTTATGACATTTTTATTTAAACCTTAATTCTAAAAGATCGCTCTTTGACGATCAATGGATAGTTTCCTTAATAACAAATAAAGAAATTTTTACTTCATTTTGTTCTAAGAACGATGGTAACAAATTAGTGGTCTTTCTGAGAGGTCCCCACAGTCTCTTTTGCTGGTCCTTAAGAAATTAATTTTTAATTATTCAAAAAATATATCTCTTATGTTATATGTAACTTACGCTGCAAAATGTTGCCATGGTCATGGGAAATGTTTTTCCAGCCGTAATGTAAAGTGGTTTATTCGCGCGCAGCATGATTAATATTAAGTTCTTTGCTGCCTTTGGTTCTATAGTGTACCATCCGTATTCATATGTGGCGTGATGTATTTTTTCAGACTAAGGAAATATGACACATATGTGTAAACTGATCAAAAAAATCGATCTTCCAAAAATTTTATGTTAGTAATTTATATTAGTAATTTTATGTTAATAATAATATCAATAAAGTTAAATAATATCAATAAAGCCAATAACAACCCATGTAAGATGTCGATTATGAAGCACTTAAGGGATGTCCTCCCAGAGAAGGATCTAAGTCCCTTATAGAAATATCATACTAAGAATTATTGATAATTACTTATTTTCATTATTAAAAATACTTCTATAAGGGATATTTCTATAAGAGGTATTCTGATCGAAAATTAGACTACTCATTGTATTCGTACTCGTGAGCAGCGAGTGTAAAAAAGTCTCTCCGTTTTTTAACCTGCTCCACGGACATCGCACTTTGCACAAATTGCCAGTGCAAATGCGATCGTTGCGCTTCTCTTCTAGGACGTACCGAGCACGTTACAGTATCATAGATTTAGACTTACCATATATAGGCTAACCTATCGAAAACGAAACAGACGTTTTTAACATTTAACCTCATTTTTTTCGGAAAACGCTCGGAAACGTCAACTTTATTTGCAAGGGGGATATATTAATTGGCTATTATGGTAAAATTAATCTCTCTTATGGGATTGAAGTTAAGTGAAAAGTAATAGTCAATTAACATGTCCTCCCCTTATAGAAATATCATACTAAGAATCATTGATAATTACTTATTATCCAGTATTTTTAATACTGAAAATAAGTAATTATCAATTATTCGTAGTATGATATTTCTATAAGGGTCTTTGCAAATAAAATTGACGTCTCTGAGTGTTTTTAGAAAAAATGAAGTTAAATGTCAAAAACACGCGTGTTTCATTTTCGATGGGCCACCCTGTATGTAAGTAAGTCTATAGACATATATATAATACTGTATTATATAGAATACTGTATATAATACTGTATATATAATACTGTATATAATACTGTAATTGTGCTTGTTACGTTCTAGAAGAGAAGTGCACCTTTACTTGCGATTCCCGCATATATTCCGCGGAGCAGATAAAAATTAGAGAGCTTTTTATAATTCTTGTTTGTGCCGCAACATATGATTGCATTAAAAGTATTTCATAGGATCGTATCGTAAGTATTTCATAAGATACACTACGTATATCCATAATACATACAGTGTGTATAAAAAAGTTCAGGGACGGCGAAATATCTCGGAAAATGTAAGTTTTATAAAAAATGTTGCAGACGAAAGCTATAAGATTTAAGTAAATTTACTTACTGACTTTATCAGTTTAATCTTGAGTGGCGTCGCCAAGGTTTACAAGTCATTTTAAATTTTTTAAATGGGACTCCTAACTGCTAAGTTAGAAATTTTTTATGTTGTCATACATATTAGCACATTAATTTTCGAAGATAGAACCGGTGCTATTTATTTGTTACGTGACGGCTATGTTCGCAACGGATAAGCGCAACTATCACGATTGCACTTGTAACTCCCGTGTACTTGTAATTCAAGTGTACCGGACGCAGGTCGGAAGTTAGGGCTGCGTTCCGATTCCCATTCAACGGGTGACCGGTAAGTGACTGAGAGAATGAGCTTGTGCTGGATACCGTAAGAGACTGTGGAATCGCAACGATAATAGGGAGTCAGAATCCGGCGAGAAATGTCAAACATGGGAACTAACCGATAGTACTTAATTACTGCCGTTTTAAGAGATAATTTACTGTAGTCAATAATAACATTCAATTATACAGATAGCTGTGATAGTGATGCTGATGACGAAGAGTTTGTTTTAACAGATGACAAAAAGCCACTGACTCTTTGCAATTTAATTATGTAAAGATCAAGAATTGCTATTTTACATATATAACGTGTCTCAGAAAAAAGATAAAAGTGCCCATTGTAGATGTAGAACGGATCAAGAGTCTCATATTATTTTGCATTATTATAATATAATATTTTTTCCACCAGATTATTATCTTAATTTTAATCATAAGTCGTAACATTGACTTTTGTCGTAACCTTCATCTTAGAAAATATTATGTTAAATATATTTATATTATTTATTTATTAATATTATGTTAAATATATTTTTTTTATTTTGACCAGTACTTTCGCAATCCATCGCAACAAACCCATCTTTTTGTACAATGAAGTGTTCAGCTTCGTTTGTACATAATTTTATTTTATTTAAATCTATTATGCACCGCACAAATAATTTTAAATAAATGAGTGTCTTCCATTTCCTGGCAAATCATAAAAATCTGTCTCATGTCATTTTAGATGCAGGGTAACATTCTTCAATGACGTCTTAATATTATTAGTAACGTCTTAGTGATATTTCTAATGTCAAGAAGATGTCGTTAAAATTCGGACGTAACAGAAAACTCTAACGGCCGTTTATGATAAGTAACTTTGGTCCTGACTGAGCCAAAGTTACCCTATTATTGTAATTTCTATATAATATTTCTCGAGCTTGACATGAGATGTGCGAGTGAATGTTCTGGACAACCATCTTGCTGAAATCACATATATATTCTTTGTACATAAAGTAGTTTATCAAATAATAATGGTAATTCTTGGTCTAGAAAATTTTTGTATTTTTGGACATTCAACGTTCCGTCGAAGAAATAGAATCCAATTAATGTATCGCCGATAATTTCACACCAAACATTAATACTCCATAGCTGTTGATGTTTAATTTCTCGTAACCATCTTAAATTTTCCATAGCTCAATAATGCATGTTGTGCCGATTAACTTCTCTACAGTTCGTGAAAGTTGACTTATTGAAAAATATGATAGAAAGAAAGAAATTATTATTTCTTTCTATTTGTCGTTGCGCTCAATGACAGAACGTCACTCAATTTTGAAAATTATTGTCATGTAATTGTTGATGTAATAAAATGTGTTACAGGTGGAATTTATAACATTTAAGTATTCGTAAAATACTTTTTCTATCATAATATAGCGACAAGCACTACGAGAACTCGGTGGTGCCGGCTATTACCGCGTTAACTATTAGGCTGGAGGAAGGCCTTTCATATGTGGAGGTCCTCTGGAGATCCAGGCAGGAGATCCAATTCGAAGAGTTGGGGATCACGCGGACTTCGGCAAGGAGGACCGTGGCAGGCGGCCTTCTGATAAAGATCTTGTGGGGAAGAGGGATGAAAGCTAATGCCTTAGACTTGGGGCGTTGTTGTTAGGGACGTCGATCGCAAGATCGATTGGGTAGGAGAGGTTCGTCGATTTTGATGAATCTATCCGCTCCAAGGATCTGGTAGGGGTCCCCTTGGCCTGCGGAAATTGCAGGTCAGAAGACATTAAGATGGGATCCAAAGAATACAAGGGTCGCGATCACAGCCGCCAAGCGAAAAAGGTGGTGACAGAGATGCCAGATCTAGGACGCAGTCAGCATAACTACAGTGCCTGCGGCGCAGCGCACACAAGCGAAGAAATACACACACACACACACACGCGCACACACACACACACACACACACACACACACACACACACACACACACACACGGTAAACTCGGATAAGATAGCCATAGTTTTTTAAAATTCAAAAGAAAATACATTTTTTATTGTTATTTCTTAATAGCGTTTGACATATTTCTTCACTGAAGTTTACAGTATATTTTACTATCAAAGTTAAAAGGAAAATACTTTATTGAAATTATTTATTACAAAAATATCAAAACATGAGCATTGGCCATCTTATCTAAATTTTTCCGATAAGATTGCCGTAACATTAAGGAATAAATAGCTCATATATATTTTACGTTCAAGATGTATCTATTATTTTATAAAATAATAAAAAAAATATATTATAATATATTTATTTTAGTATAAAATATTTTATACATATTTATGAAAAATATAATGTGCACATATAAAATATAAACTTTAATTACAAAATTTAAATTTTAAATGCAATCTTTTGATTAAAACATATTGCATATAAGATTTAATTATTGTAATATTCAAAGTAATTTTCGAAACATAATGACTTTCGTTTTGTAAAGATTCATAGAATGATAGTGCGCCACTTTATCCAAAGTATGAGTAAAAGAAGGCCATAGTATTTATAAACAAATATTGTACAAATTATATATACTTAAAACTCTTCTCTGAAACTCATCATGTTACACTCAAAAAGCATTGTACGCAAGAAAAATTGACAAGAAAATGATTAAGTAATGACGTAGATCAGCACGTGCTCTTTATAAAATGTTTATATATCAACGTTTCAAATTATCGAAAACTGTTTGGATCACAGAATCTTTATTCATATAATTATATGTACGATTATTTTCGACTTACATTAGCTATAAGAAATCCTTGCAGACAAAATAGTACAGCAAAGTAAAATATCATGCTAAGTAGCATTAAATTCACTATATATTTTATTCTTGTATATCACTTGTGTATTCCGAAGAAAATGTTCCATCATGTTCTTTATTTTATTAACTTGTGAAAAAATTTTCAGAACATCGAAATATCCATGGACTATGCTACAATCATCTTTTATTCAACGTATTCAAAAGTATATCTAATTTGGTAATCAGCTTTTCGATCGTTTAATAAAACAAATAAAAATAAATTGAATATTATCTTCATTTAGTGATTTAAACTCTATTTTTCGATAGTTTATCTGCAATGATCTTGAGTGTGTTATTATTGAATTTATCATGAAAAAGATTACAAAGGAAGCTGATAGAAAATTAGAAATCTATTAAAAAATATTAAGTTGACCTTTATTTCACCTTGACACTCCACCCGAAGATTAAACCAATAGTATCACGACATGTCCTCTTTGAAACACTACAACATTTGTCTAAAACATTTTTATTCAATTGCATTATTTTTCATATGTTGAGGAACTTCAATTTAAATAGAGAAAAGTAGCTAAAAGCGACATAGGCCTCCTAAAGTGACACACCTCTATATCTCATATATAAAAAGTTGTATTTTATCGAAACTATTATAAACGTAATTTGTTTTACCAGTAAAGTTATGAAAAAGTCATACTTGGTACATTCTTGTTCTTTTATATGTTAAATTAGCAAATATTGAGAAATTCGCAAGTTTTATTTCTATGATTTTTATTGGCGAATTACGTAGACTAAACATCAATAATTATCTTTTTGTTCAACATTAAGTTCTTCTAGATGCATTTAGTTTTTGTACAAATATTTTTTGAATATTTTAATCTTTATTACTTTTTTACTGTGTAACTTGAAAAATTTTATGAGAATGTGTTTTAAAGTGACATACCTATAGTATGCGATAGCTACGATAGACTGTGACTAACATAACCTGATTCTAACCTCATATTGTGAAGTGACAAATGTTATATATGAACTTACTTTGTTGCAATAACGTAAATGTAAATCATTTTCCATAATTATTTGTAATTATATACATCAGTGAATACTAATTAACATAAATGTTGCTTCTAAATAAAATGAATATTATTCAACCATTAAACGCATTAACGAACTATTTATTATCATATATGCAACATGTTATATAACTTCCAATAGGTATGTCGCTTTTGGCACCCATTTTCTTTGAACTCTATTTTCGTGCGTTTTATAAAAACATTTTTTGTTTTAAGTTAAGAAACAATTTCTGTAAAAATGTGATATTATCTGACGGAGGGTACTTCCAACTTTATGTATATATATTTACATTTATATTTTGAGCTTTACATTAAGACATAACCTTCAAAAGCAAAGTGGTATGTCGCTTTTGGTGCCTTTACTCTACCTTATTTTTGTGTATATATGTGTGTGTATGTATATATATATATATATATATATATATATATATATATATATATATATATATATATATATATATATATATATTACTCAGAATATTTTTTAAATAATAAAATTATATGATTCTTTCTCCCCAATTTGCCGTTAAAGCTACAATTATATATTTACACTTACTTGTGTCATTAAAATGTCACCAACGGCGCAATAAAGACACATATGCAATAAAACTAACATGCATGCTATAATAAACCAATTGAACTGCATAACTGATAATTGGCCTTTTTGATTAATAACCTGAATAGTCACCAATATAAGTTATATAATCTTAAAACTCTTTGTTCTAGAACTCAATGAGATAAAAGAAACAGGAGAGAATGTATCGGTAATAGGGATAGGTTTTACCGCTAATGGATGTATGTCATGGCAGTCATCTTAGGCATTTACTTTTTTGACGTTTATCAGTAAAAAGTGGGGAAAAGAACTACATATAGGCTAAATTGTTTATTTTTAGAAATAAGTGTTATGAGATATAAATATATTACTAAGTCATTGATATAATAACAGCAGCTCGAAATTATGGGATAATGTTTTATTGATTAGTATAATTAATAATAATGAGAAGTTTATATTTTAGAGGTTATATTTTATTATATATATAGAATTGTGAAATCGTAGATTCACATATAATTATAAAGTAATTTTTTATAAATAGGTTCCTGACTAACCAGAGGAGTGCCTGGATAAATTTTGTTAATCATTGTTTAATTATTGCAGTAAATTTCGTGGTACTTCCAGTGCGTTACTCATGCTACAATGTCGAAATATTCAATATCAGGGCTCTTGAAAGGCTATCTTAAATGTCCACTTTTTATGCTAATAAGGTCCCTGAGGGTAATTTGGCCATGCTAACGTTTGAAAAATTCTCTAGCTGTTATTAAATGGAATTTTCAAAATTCGCTTGCGCTAAAGTTTACTTTGAACTTTTGACAATTAGGAAAAAGTTCATAAAAGAAGACATTCAATTCTAACCATAAGAAAATCGGTTTCAAAAATCATTAAAAAAAATTGGTTTTTTGGCTATATTAAAAGCATATAAAGATAATATGGCTACTTTTCTTATGTCTTTAAAATTGAAATTTCAACCATTAATCATAATTAATACTATTTGTAATGGAAGTAATACAAGTACATAACAAAAGAAGTAATATTTATTTAAAAAAACACGTTACAAAAAATACTGTGTAAGACAAATTTTCCTTGGACAGATTTTCTTGTGTCCATTTACTACGCTTCTTTTTTAGAAGATCAGAATTCATATCTGAAAGTAGAAAAGTAAAAACATTTTGATAATGCTCAATCATATATAGCATTATAGGTTATGGCACTATAGGTTGGCCATATTAGCAACACGTGTCATTTCATACAAATGTTACCGGAGCGCAGAAGGAAGCGTCTGTCGTCAAACATAAACATTAAACTGAAAGAATCATCGATAACTTCGACAGATCTGAAACAGCAACTGCTCTTTAGAGAAAGATATAATTTTATATCGTGCTTAAATACTCGATTGTTCGAACAATTTCTATTTAGATAGACTTGCTTGACAATCTAGCTTGTGTACCTGATCAAACGAATATGATCCCGGACGTTATATTTTAAAATTTCATCGTAGTTGGAATACTTCTTCATATGTGAAAACCGCAAATGTAAATTTTCTAATTGACCACACACGTGAAAAACCAATAGTGCGAACAAGTTGTCGATTGCAGTGTAAGAGATACCACCTATGGACAATGCGATTGTTTGCGCCAGTAGCGTCAGCTCGAACTGTGGACTTTTTGTGACATCGTGTAGGTAGTATAATGATATCGGCAAATGTTTTCCAGACTCCGTTAAATTAGTCACTAATCTCTTCGTTATTTCGAGCCACGGTAAACCCAATATAACGATTAATGCAGAAAATATCAAGAATAGTGCGCATACAGCGATCGCTCGAGAAATCCTGGCATATCTTAGCATAACGCCTCGCTCCTCTTTAATCTTTACCTTCATCCAATCTCCTTCAATCATATCAATTAGAGGTGCTAAAACTATAAGAGAGACTAATGTGTTATTTTTCTACGGATATTTTTGTACGTTTACAAATTCAATAAAAGATAAATGTTATTATGATAAGAAAACACTCTGCTAAACATGATGTACCTTCTTGTTTGTACCAAATAATGCAGATTTTTAAAGCTGTCATCGATATAGGTAAAGTATATTGCATATTATCTATCATTAGTATCATATCACCCCATACTCTTATTAATGATATTAAACCCGGGATGATAAGTATGAAAAGTAACATGATAACATTGCACAGCCGTCGAAGTTTCAGTCTTATAATGTGTCGGTTTCGATTGTCTGGCGGCCACAAACTGATTATTTTAAATATCAGCCGACTTAGACTAATCGCCTTTTGGAAATCTATTATTAGAAACTTAAGTTTTATTTCATGTTAAAAACTACAATTTTACATATGCTGTTAGCTTAATATAAAAATAAATACGTCAATGTGTGAGTTAGACACAGGCAGCACAAGTATACTTGACCGTATCGACTTTCAAAGATAAAAAAATGTTATGTAATAATGAAATTTTGCCCAACTATTAGTGTATCAGAATTTATGAATAATTGCTATGTTATTGCGCAAAACAAACAGCTATTATGTTCTTTCATAACTGCAAACAGTTTTCTTCAGCAATACTCATACAGCACACAAACGTTGAATCAACATTTCAGAAACGTTGCATTGCGACATTGCAATGTTGCATCAACAATTTGTAATGTAAATTCAACGTTGAAAAGACATTGTGGAAGCGTCTAATGTCCGCTGAATTGCAATGTTTTGTAGACGTTGAAATTTAATATTGTCAAATATTCACTTAACATTAGTCGTGTTTAGCGGCAGAAAGTTTTTTTATACAACTATTGGTAATTTTCTAGATTGGATTATTGGTAGCTAAGATTGGACTATTGGTAGCTATGATTGGATTTTACAGATTTATTGAAATACTAGTATGCAAAGATTAAAAGTACTGATCAATATTCTTCATTATTCAACGTATAAAAATATTAATGTAATGTTGTTGAACAGTTAATATAATAGTTTAATATAATAGTTAATAAGACATTTTGTGAAAAATCCTGAAAAATATCAGGATATCCTGAAAAATATCAGGATATAATGTAAAATATTTCGGAAAATATTTCAATCATTTCTTCTCAATACGCAGAATAACAAAAGAAATCAATTTATTTTAAAGGAACTATATGATTCTATATAAAAGATTAAATGTAAACTTGACATGATTTCAGCAAAGTCAAAGTGAATAGCATCATCAGACTATACAAATTGTTTGAAATATTTTTTGATAAAATCCTTGATTTCCGAGAAATTTCAATGCGTCATTTAAAAGGATATATAAAACTTCTTTTCAGTATCTCTACTTGAATTTCAGAAGATAATAATTTGTACAAAGTTGTTTTGATGTTGTAGCAACATAAAGAATTAATGTAGAAGAAAAAATATAGATTCAACCTTGGAAAGATATTTATATTTCAACATTACAACATCTCAGCAACGTTGATTCAACTTTTTATGCTACATGGAATATATTTTAATTAATTTTATTCGAGAAATCTTTGTTGCACATTTAAATATCTATGTAGAATATTATGAAAAACCTTAATCATATTAATACTTTTAAATAGAGAGTTTACAGATCTGAATAGAAAACATGAAATGCACCAAAAGAGCACCATTATATCCAGTTGAACGTTTCATGCTAATAATCAAAAAGATACTGCCTTGCACTGTTTCACATTATCGAAGAAAATAGTCCTTATTTTGCGATATATAACTTGTTGTTATGTTACCCTTAAAACGATATTCTTAGAAGAGTGTTATACACTTGTGTCCGTACCATCGTAAATATTGCAGCAGAACAATGTCGACGAACACACGGGTTGGTATTATCATTTTGTTGACGCCTTTGGTAACGAAACGGTGAGTGAATCAATTATTATCGTGAGAACGCACACAACGTGTACTGTCCATCAGTCGTCAGAATGACTCATCACTTTTGTTATCTCATGTTTTTTTCTCTTTGTCACTGCACATTTGTAATTGCTGAGTGTGAGCATGCACGCAAAGAATGTTTTATGTAGCAATACGAGACGGGCTAGAGACTGTTGAAAACATTTTTCAAGTTGTGGAAATGCTGCAATCCATAGTTCATAGTTCTTACCTCGCTGAAAAGTTTGATCACTGGAAAAAGGAGTTACCATAGAGTGAATACTCTGATGCTGCATTATTGATGAGTCTTTAGTCGTACAGTCGAGTACAGTCGAAACACAGCAGTTTAAGAAGTAAGATGTGAACGACAGTACTGGTGACTGTTTGGCGCTAATATGTCTTTGACTTGAACAATGTGTATAAGAAAGACATACTTGAACTAAGTGGATTTTTGTAAATTAGTTGTTTAAAACGAAGAAGACGTTTTCCAGCATAATGAGGATATTATTATAATAATTGCTTCTCTCAGTTTACGAGGTAAAGTTGGAAACGGATGAAAACGAAATTATTAGATGTAGACTTTTGAAAGAAATCGTCTTAAATTAATATCTTTGGTTACGATTGTTTAAAACAATATTTTTCAAATGTTTCTTGGGATGGAATGAGAATTAGATTTATTTAATTTAGATTCCTAAGAATTTATTTTAAACTATTTCTTGTTTGGACTAATCATTATAATATTAGGTAAAAACTCTAAAAGCAATAGAATTAGATCTAGTTCATTAATATGTTATATAAATATTCGTTGCACGTTACTGCGTTGTTTTAATATTTCTTTAGTAAGTATGTTATAATGTACTGTGAATATTATAAGAATATATTGTAACATTATAAGTATATTTTATAAGTATATTTTATAAGTATATTTTATTATAACATTATAAGTATAAATCGCAAGAATATCATCAGAGCATGAAGTTCGCTGCGGTCGCTTGATTATCAAAGTTAGGCAACTTTATCGTGGTCAGGACATGGTGTCTCCCGTAACATTTAGAATCAAAGCCTACAAAAGTGGAGGATATGCGAACATGTTTGGAGTGTGTATGACAGAATGTGCGGTTTCCGAGACATGAAAAAATGATAAATAAATTTCTTCTTATATTTACATTTTACTGTAACGTTGTCAAGAGATACGGTAATTGTCTCACGCCAAATGCGTTAAGCGTTAAGCGAAGCAACACGCACGGCCGCGAGACTGGCCGTGTATATTTACAGGAAACATCTAGTTGATCGGAGGCAAGATCATTTCTACCGTAACGATTGAATTGACGAAGTTGTGGGTGGGCCCAATCGATTCATTGGGTTTATATTACATGAAGAAACTCTTCTTATTTTTGTCCTACATGTTCTTTAAGCCGAGATATTTTAGCCAAAAGTACGAAATCGCCAACTCTCACATCTTAAGAATTTCGTCGTCATTAAAATGTACGATTGTAAGTAAAAAACTAGGCATCTGTGAACACGTTTGGCCTTATGTAAAGGGCCTACTGGCTTTTTTTGAGCTCTCCAACTTTTATCTGAAGCATTTTTTTTTTAAATGTATTATTTAAAAAATATTTGATATCGCGCTATTTAAAATAGAACAGACTATACATACAGGATATTACTTGCATATCATACAGCATATATTCATTGTTATACTGTTTGTAAATATTTGCAAGTCACGCTGACTTGCATAGAATCTACATAAGTTTTCTCATTTAATGATTATCAAATCTAAAGCATACATCTAACTAATTGGCAGATCCCAAAAATTTTTTTTGTATCACTCCAGGTAGCAGGTACATAATAAATAACGTATTAATAAAATTTTAATAACGTCTCTAACGTCAATGAGATGTCATTAAGACTCAGACGTAACAAAACATTCTAACGGTCGTTTAAGATATTTAAAGTGACTGACAAAATAAAGAAACCATTTTCATTTTATTTATTTGGGCCTTAAATAATATAAAAATATATGAAAGTTTCTGGGTTTTTTTACGCTGAGATTATTCTTTATTAAATTAAGTTTAAGGCGTACAAATATGTTTTAACATCATTCTTCAAGACGTTATTATTTTTCTTACTTTGTCATATATATATCCTTGAAAACTGGAACAAAAAAAGAGATCATATTATACTTATAATTATTGACTGTAAGAAACACACGTTGTAGTGATACCAACATGATAAAACGCAATCTAGCTTCACATAAAAAGATGATGGAAGATTCAAAATAATGAACGGTACAGTTAGCTGAAATGACTGAGTGATCTCTTTATTTTATAAAATAAAAATAAACTAAATAACATGAAGAAAAAGTATAAAAGCCTCTATTTGTATATTAAAGTTAAGACAATAAAGAATAATCTCAATGAAAAAAATACCAGAAAATTTTTCATTTTCTTAAAGTATTTGAAAATCAATCATTTAAAATAAAAGTAGTCTCTCATTTTTATCGGTCAACTGTACAATAGAGTTATTTCCTATCGATTTCTTTATTTTCAGATTGCATTGTTTTAATATTAAACGTCTTTAGTTTGCCGAATATGTCCGCTTCTATTGTAAGAATTACAATTCAATAGAAAAAAATGTTTAATAAAATTACGCATAGTGAGTTCATGGAACATATAAACTAGTGCATCACTTTTTTCCATATTTGATAATATCTGTGCATTAATTTCTTTTATAAAATTTACTGAGGGAAATGAGAAATAAAATTAGGAATAAGACTAAAACGTATAGTTAATTTCTCGGAATGTTAATTAATTTTTTATTTATTTGTGGATACAATATGTTGTTATCGACATCTTACATAGGTTCTTATTAATTTCTCAGCATGCACATGGCATATGACATAACATTTCATATGTAATTTTTTATCGGTCCATTTGTTAATTTGCACAATTATTTAGACGATTGTTTAAACAAAACTCGAAATAGCTATGCACTTAAAACTAATATCTATAAACCCATAACATCTAAACCTAAAACACGTAAACCTAAAAACTCTAAGCACCCAAACCCATGCATTCAAAGCTCATAACTCGAAAACCCATAAACCCGTAAACCTGAAATCCATAAATCCAAAACCCATAAAGGTTTAAATAATTGTGCAAATAAAAAACAGGCCAATATAAATTATCACATATGAAATGTCGTGTCATATGCTACGTGCGTGCT